AGCGGATGCCCCGATAACACACCGCCCCACCCGATGGAGTCAAGGAAAAACACGTCCTGCGTTTGGACGCGCCCCCGTCCCGCGCTTGCACCTATTAGGAGCAGGAGAAAACCGTGTCAGGAAATGGCCCGATGGGTGTCTCGCCGCCCAGAGCACACGTGTTGCTGCTGATCGCGAAAAGGAGGGGCAGAGGATGGAAGGAGAATTTTTCCCAAAACGCACAAACTGGGTGCATAACTAGGTTTTCTAAAGCCCTGAAAGGGTTCTCAACGTTTTCACCAGCAGTTATTCCTCCTAGAGAAATAGCAACGTTTCTGGCCGTGGTTTTCCTCGAGAACACCTTTTATCCTCCATGCGTGCATAACTGGCATGTAGGAACATTCCCCTCCAGATGTTGAAATTGGATTAAAATTAATCTCACAAAGATTTATATATGGTTCCTTTTTGGATTATTTTTTAATCCCCTGTGGCAGCAGTAGTAAATGCTGGAAGTTCCTCCTCTGCTGATGCATAATTAGTTTATGTAGGTTAATAGTTTCTTTCATTAAAGTGCTCCTCTCGTGGTAACAGAGCTTATTTAACTGCAGCAACAAGTCCCAGTGAAATCCCCATGGGTGTGTAGTTTGGTAAAATGGAAACGATCCAAAGAATTTCAAGCATTTGCTTTACACCTATTGAAGGCTTCCTGTTCAGCACTGCTTCTCTTTGGTTCAGGTGGTTTTGTTGGTTTTAATTTTTTTTTTTTAGTAACTATTTCTCAAACCCAGAATACCTTTGTACTCAAGAGATGCAAATATCCATACAGAAGAGGAGAGGCTCCTATCAGTAACTCAAATAGGTGGTCCCACAGGGGGATGTGTGCAATGGGGACAGCTGAACTGGCAGGCCAGAGGCATGCCAACTTGCTGAAGCGCTCAAAGGGAGGTTTAGGTAGGATATTAGCAGACGTGTCTGCACAGCGCTCAGTGGGAACGCTTTCAAGGTGGATACGGGACTTCACATAGCCAGGCAGGCATTGTTAGTGGCTGGACATTCTTTCACAGGCAGAGAGGCTGGGGGAACCCCCTCTCCCCAAGGTTTACATCGCATGTGGCACAGGTCAGACTTCCTCAGAAGGGAGAGACTAGAATGGTGTCCTTCAAAAAGGATCTGGGTTGGTAATGTTGACATTCTTCAAGGATGGTCCCTCAAGGATGAAGAATCCTTTGAAGAATCATTTGGTTTTCTGGATACTTTTGCTAATACTGAAATCACTCTCACCCTTTATTATTTGTGAACTATTTCTTGAATATCAGCTTCTGGGTGCCGGCTCTTACCCTTTCTGTTCATGTCAGAGGATTGTGGTTTTCTCCACGGAACTATCTATTTGCTTTCATTAAGCTACCTCCTTAATCTAAAGGTCTTCAAGACAAGTCTGTACATTTACATGTACAGCAGTGGAAATCAAGGCAATCACTTTTCTTCCCACTTTGAGGAAGTTGCTACAACTAGAAGACATGGACAATTTGAGCCAGAGTGGTATCAAAATGCTGTCGCTGTTCTAACACGCAGCCTACACCTGAGATTCTTGAAGGCCTTTTCCTGTAGCTTTTCCTCTAAAAAGCATGGCCTAAGAGTTGTTTACTTGTAAAATGCTGCAAAACACAAAACCGAGTTTAAACACACAAATAATTTCTCAGACTGCCACTGAAAGTTGTGTGTAGTTTTATTTCAACATATCAAGCACAAACAGGTTTCCCCTAACTGGGGAATATGACGAGGAATGTACTTAAAAATTTGGAAACATTTACATTGAAAGATAGCCCAGACTGGCACCACCACTAAGTATTTTAAGGCTGTATATATAGCAGTACTTACCACTTGGAACTACTTCAGGCCAGAAAAGAAAGGCTTAGTATTGTCCGCAGTCTACAGAAAATATTGCAAATCTTTAAAAAATGGTGTAAAATAGGAAGACTATTAACAGAGTTGAACAATGCAGTGGCAAAACCCTTCCTCCTTCCTGACCGTTGACAATAAAGGGGCCTACAACCGAACACACGTACACCTACATCGCTCCCGTCCTTCTCGCCTATCCTGGGGCAGTGGATTCCTCTCTACAACGCTAGTGTGTGATATTATAAAACAGCCACATAGCAAATAATAACAATAATAAGAAGTGACCGGGTTTCAGGAACAGGTGTTGTCTGACGTTACACTTGATGGGCCCGATCCAGGACAGCAGTCAGCTCCATAACCAAACAAGGAGCTTTCACTGAATACTTTCCATTTCCTAAAGACAAACAGCTCTAGGAAATTGTGCATATTTACAGTTCCTGTGGAATGGAAAATAAAACACATCCTGAGGTCCCGTTCTGTGTGTGCTGGCAAAACAGATCATGACTTAATATCCCGGGGGTGGATTTTTTTGACCAAGTGTGCTCCCTCCCGTAATTAAAGGCAGCCGGACAGGCACCGCATACGTCAGCTCTTTATGGCTCCCCAACTGCACTCCCTCACTCGTAGAGCTATGAACCAGGCTGGCGTGACCTTTCCAAAATGCTGGGGTGTTTACCATTTCGGGGGTACCAATACTGCTGAGTAATTATTAATTGCATCAGAAAATGACAAGACATAGAAAACAAATTGCACAATTAAAGCTACATTTGGCTTCAGCATTAAGGCCCATACAGGTTAAGAGGTCCTTGAAGATGTACATGTAAAAGGCAAAAATGACATAATCTGCAGGAACAAAGTTTTGCAGGTTCCTAGGTCCCTTTTCAACCTCGTTTTTCAACCTTCTTCCACCTCTGCCGCGTTGGTTCTAAAGTGCTTTGGTGCCTCGCTGGGCTCCTTGCGCGAGTGGCCCCCCTCCTGCAGCCAGTAATCGTTATTGCTGCCAAACGTAGTGACTTTATTTGAAGACATAATTAATGAATAGTTGACACGTAAGAAAGATGCAGAGAAGAAACCAACAGCGAGAGTCCAGGAGGAAGCTTTCAGAAGAGACCTTCCTGTGGAAGGACTTTTTGTTCAGAGCGCTGAGGTTTCTGGAAAAGAAAGCAGTATGTTTATTTGGGTGTCGCAGGGAGGTGTGCGTTCACATGTGTGCGTGTACCCCCAGCTTCCACGCCAGGAGGGATCCCTGTACTCCAGAGACACCCTCATGGGCACAGCACTGTGCCCCCTCTTTTTCACAGAAAGAGAAGTACTTCTGGCTGCTGCTGGCATCGAGCAGAGCATGCTGGTTGGCATGAGAGGGCATAAGGGCACAAACCCCAAGAAATCTCTTCATCCAGCTCCCACTCACAAACCTGTGCCCTAACCTTCCCAAATACAAGTACTTGCCCTGGACAACCTCAAGAGCAGCAGAGAAAAGCTAAAGCCATATCACTGATAGCTCCGGCATCCAAAAATGGTGGGCTTCGTGTGTTGTCCCACCCCACAGAAACCTTGGGAGGGCTGGATAATACTCCTCATGCAGAGGGGAGTCAGCAGGGCGCCCTGGAGCAGATGTAGCAGCTATTACCTCCCCTGCCCTCCCCACAGGAGTCTGCAGCGCAGCGCCCTTTGCCAGCAGTCGGTTAAGCAGGCGTGCTCACTGCTTACCTCAGACAGCACCTAGCATTCTATACAAAAAACAGGCATTTAGTGCTTTTCACCCACAGAGCCTGGTTTTCAGACCACACGCCTGCATCTCTGCGGCAAACGGAGCAAATTCGTAACATACTTGATGAGAAGGGAGAACCCACGCCTTCTCGCCTAGCAGAGATTTATTTATAGCCAGGACCTGGCCCAGCCCCTCCCAACTCCTGCAGCTGCTGTGCAGTTGGGAGTGCCAAGAAATGCTTCACGTGCTGCGGTGATGCTTTTTGCCGAATAAAGAGAGTCTTAAAAAGGAAGAGATTTCCTCCCTGTTTCAGGTAGGGCGTGGCTTTGCCTTTCCTGTGTGTTAATAGCTCATCTATTGAAACATTAGTCAACTGCACCCCTGCAGCTGATAAGGACGCCCCAAAGGCTGCAGTGGAGGAGTTAAGTGCCATGATTTGTATTTAGCCCATTAAGATAATTGATTTGATGAAAGAAAATGGTTACCGGTGTATGTCCTGTTGGGCTCTCTGTAGGGACAGGACGGCTGAATGAATTTCCTTAAGGTGATTCATTTCTTTCCCACACTGAGCGCACAGGCTTTCAAACCCTGCAGCAAAGCATTGAAGGACATTACGTTTTGCATCACCATCTCTGGTGGCGATGATGAAACACAAACCAGGTTCACCCAGCAAGTGGCTGGCTGTGACCAAATTGTCACAGCCAGGGGCGACACTCTCAGGAGGAAACTTGGGGAGAAGGAGACAGGGGACATAATCTCCCACCCCAAAGACATGGGTCAGTGGAATAGATTCTGTGATGCTGGCCTGGGGCTCCTTCTTGGCTCTCAGAAAACAATTTTTGCAGCATCCTCCCCAGCTGAGGGGCAGGGAATGGAGTGCTCACACCTGCTCCCCATCTCTGAAACATTCAAGGTCACCTCCAACAAAGGCTAAGAAAAGGGAATGAGAAATTAAGCCTGCTTCCTATCTGCTGGTTGGAATGTTAGTGTACTTTTCCAATGTGTTTGTGCCAAGAGTTGGAAAACCCTCATTGGCCTGGTTAGCATAAGGCAGAAAGAGAAGCAGAAGTACGTATGGAGAACAGAAAAGCAGAACATTCTCTGTGTTTGCCTGTGGGCTATGGCCCCACAGCATTAACTGGGCCAGGAAATGTCCCAGGGCTGGCTGAAGGAATAAGGTACCAAGGGAAGAAAATTAAAGCCTGACCCAGTGATACCCAAATACTTGCCATCATCATCTGAGAGCTCCTGCACCGACTCTGGCGTTGAACAGCTGCTCTCTGTGTTCTGGCTGTGGTTGGACGGCTGATCGCTGGTTTTGCGGCGCCTGCAGTCTTTGGCAGACCTCTGGATCAGGTGGGGATTAAGAGAGACTCGGTCACTGTCACATTGAAGACTCTTGTGTGTTTGGCTTTAAGCAAAGTGATTCAGGGCGCTGGGGAATATCTGTGGGATTGCGAAGTTTGAGTGCTTTCTCAGCAACTCCTAGTGGTTGGACTCCTGGTAGCTACTTAAGGATATAGCATACATGCCCCATACAGAACCATCTCCTCAAATGGTAACATCTGCAAGACACCCATCCAAATTATTCTCATTGCAGCTTTAACTGACATGTACTACTGATGAACTTTACAGTTTTTTGCTGAGCTGTGTATGCATCAACCAGAACCGTAAGAGAAAGGATGAAAAGAAGAAACATTTAGAATCAACTTTCCCAGGGAAGATTTTTCAGGTGTTTGAAGGATTTAAACATCACAGAACTTCTATGCCTAATTTCTTGATGCACTTTGGAAAGTTTCTCCCTACCTCTCAGATGGGTAAACCAAACATGTTGATTCAAACTCTCACTGGAGGATCTGAAAAGTAGTTATGAACCTCAACTTTCCCATTGTTTGGGTGTTAAAAAAGAAAAGTCTAAGTATGTAATAAGATAAGAATTCTTCAGAGTAACGTGGGTTCTATCTAGCTAGTTCAGCAGTTCTACATTTACAAAGCCCTTTAGGAATGACATACATTACTTCAAAGATGAATGCAATGAAATAACAAAGTATCATCTCTGTTCAAGGGAAAGGACGGAGCGGGGTTTCTTGTCTTGTCTATGAGGAAGTAAGGGATAAAGGCAGACAGCAAAGACTGAAACTGAAGTTGCAGGACCTCAGTTGTGTACTCCAAAACCTTGCTCACGCCCTCGCTACTGAGAGTTTTCTGCTTTGGGAACGCCGAGCAGTGAAGTTCAGCTCAGTCATGTGCAAAACCCAGTGAAAGAATCTCTGTCACTAACACTGGGTGGAAGAAAAATGCCAAAATGGATAGGATACGTCAACCAAGTGTTGTCATTATTTGGAGTTAATGATGGCATAATATTGCAGGTCTAGAGTCATAAGCTATATTTACCTGAAACAAGCCTTTCAGCCTGTACTGTGCTTACATGAAAATACTGCAGAAAAGGGCTGTGTATCTAAACAATTGTAAAGGATATTATATTCCCCAAACCAGGCTTTTTACCTTGTGCCGTGTAATTTGATTGTTTATGCACGTTGTTTTGTGGTTTGACATCCTTGTGGATAAGTGTCTTTCCATGGTCTGAAGTATCCCATTCTTCTCAAATTGGGCAATGTCGTTCAAAGGATCCCAAGGTCTTAAACTTTTGAGACCAAAGGAAATAACATCAGAAAAGCAAGAATCTGACATCAGGTGTGTTAAGAGCAATACACTAATTCCACAGGCACCAGGGCAGCCATTCATCCCTGACAGTGACCAGAGCTTCCGCAGATGCAGTGCGAGCAGGAACAGATACTTCCCTCTGCATTCACAGTTCCTAGCAATAAATGAGGGGGGCTCAGTCTCCAGAGGCTTCACCCTTCTTGCCAGGGGAGGAGCGTGCAGTTGTCAGCTCTGCTCGCACAGTGCAGAAAATCTCTGCTACATGATTCCACACTTGAGTGCAGCAAAAGGGATCTGTACCAATGGCACAGCGGATTTTCCGCTGCCAAGCCCTCATTTCCAGCTATTCCCAATTAGTATCAGGAATATGTATTCTAATAATGACACAGAGCAATATGAAATAAAGAGCAAGCCCAGGGCATAGATTGGAGAATGGCAGGACCCGAATTACAGGTCTATAACCTTGCTTTGCATCCCTGGGGGCTCAAGCAGTGAGGTCTGTTCACAACCCCCAAGCCCACCACTCACTCCTCATATTTGTAGCGCCATTCATTAGTCGTGGCGTCGTGCCTGAAGAGCAGTGGTTTCCACTCTGTGCCGCTCTCTCTCCGCTCCCGGGCAGCATTCCTCTGCTCCTCTTCCAGCACAAATTTTTCCTGCGTTGCCTTGTGTTGATCGCCTTTGTTTATTGCACTAGTAACGTGCTGCCAAAGCCTGGAAATAAACAGTTAAACCACCTTAAACCCAACAATGTATTTTGCCAGCTGGGGCCTTACAGCAGACCCTGTTCTGGTCTCTCCAGAGGAATTGTGACAGGATTGCTCAGCCTCAGTTTTGCTTGTATATTAAAGGAACATTACGAGAATGGCAGCACTGAACGCTGTATACAACGATCTACTGAAGAACAGGGGAACTTTCCCTTAGATAACATCACCTACAATATTCATTATAATCTTCAGTGCTGTTTGTGTGAGTTATAACATAGTCATGCTCAATTCATTGAGGTCAGCGGCCTCTTTAGAGGTGATTGGTGTATAACGGAGAATCTGTTCTCTTCTTCACACTTTCAATCATTTATGTTTAGGAGCCTTTGTGTTAATGTCTATCCCTGAAACTAAGTCTTTACATTTCAAGTTTAGAAGCACTGGAAAAAGAATGCATGTGCACAGCTTGCAGCTGTACATGCAATATTGTAGCTCTGTATAGGATTAGCAACCAGATCTGGAGGAATCAGATTCAATCTGCAAGAAACGGACATGTACTTGTGTTCACAAACTGCAGGCATGAACACAGTGTCCTGGTTTCAGCTGGGGTAGAGTTAAGTTTTCTTCCTGGTCACTGGCACAGTGCTGCATTCTGGACTTAGTACTAGAAGAATGTTGGTAACACACTGATGTTTTAGCTGTCGCTGGGTAGTGCTTAGACCAGTCAAGGACTCCTCAGCTCTCAGCTCTGCCAAGGGCACAAGAAGCTGGGAGGGGGCACAGCTGGGACAGCTGACCCCAACTGGCCAAAGGGGTATTCCAGACCGTATGATGTCATGCTCAGCTTATAAAGCTGGGGGAAGAAGAAGGAAGGGGGGACGTTTGGAGCGATGGCGTTTGTCTTCCCAAGTAACCACTATGCGTGATGGAGCCCTGCTTTCCTGGGGATGGCTGAACACCTGCCTGCTGATGGGAAGCAGTGAATGAATTCCTTGCTTTGAATGAATTCTGTGCTTCACTTGCACGCGCGGATTTTGCTTTACTGCCTTTATCTCAACCCATGAGTTTTCTCACTTTTACCCTTCCAATTCTCTCCCCCATCCCACTGTGGGGGGGGGAGTGAGTGAGCAGCTCGGTGGGGCTCAGTTGCCAGCTGGGGTTAAACAACCACCACCTTTTTGGTGCCCAGTGTGGGCCTTGAAGGGTTCCAGATGATGACGTGTTAGATTGGAATGCGCTAGATCAAATTTAGAGCTCTTAGTGCTGTTTAGTTATTAATTGACAGGCTCCTGTGCTTGCCATGGGCTTGCTTGCCTTACTGTACCTTAGAGCCCAGTGCTCGTTAGTGCTCGTGCTATTTGCTTTTGCTGCTTGCTGTCCTGCTGATCACCTCACCCTGCTGTGCCTGGGACATTTTGGTAACCGCCATGGCCCTGTGCCTGGGCTGGCCGATGGCCAGGGCATCGCTGCTGTTTCTGTGCTGGTGTCCCGGACAGGCTGGAACTCCAGTGGGAACTCAAGTTGGAGGGACTGTGACCTGGGGATGAGTCTACATGGGAACAGGACACCCCGAAGCAGTGGTGTGGCCATGAATAAGTCCACACCAGAGCAGGTGCATCTTGAAGTGTCTGTGTCTGTGGTCATGTCTGTGCCGCAGCAGGTACACCTTTAAAAGGATTGTGACCCAAGTAAGTCCACACTGGAGAAGGTACACCTCAAAGCATCTGTGGCTGTGGATGAGTCCATGCTGCAGCAGGTACACCCTGAAGCATCAGTGGCTGTGCATGAGGTCATGCTGGAGCACCTCAGAGTGTGTGCCCATGGATAAGCCCAAGACAGACCAGGATAAGCATGACAGCCATGGGTAAGGCCGTGTTGGAACAAGTTCATTTCTGAAAGGACTGTGGCTGTAAGGCCATGCTGGAGCAAGTCTCTCTCTGAAGACACTGTGGCCCATGGAGAAGGCCACACTGGAACAGGTGCACCTCAAAGTGACTACAGCTGTGGATAAGTCTGTGCCACAGCAGGTAGAGCCCTGGAAAGGCTGTGGCTTGTAGATAAGGCTCCACTTGGAGTGGGTACAGCCCTAAGGGACTGCAGGCTGTGGTTAAGTCCAAGCTGGAGCAGGGCCAAGGGGAAGAGTTCATCACAATGTTAAACCCGAAGGTCTGGTCCAAAGAGATCAGGGGTGGAGATTGTAATGGAACTGCCTTTAAATTGTTGGGATTTGAGTTGCACGTTATAGGAATTACTATAGCAAGAACCACCTGAGCCAATGGAGGACAAGCCTTACGAGAAGCAGCGCACGTGCAGCAGTGACCTGACCTGACCTGGCTTTGGTGCCCGGTACCACCACACAACACAGCACCTCTCCTGTCCTGAGGGACCACCGTAACAGATGGAGCCCAAAGCCACGGACTACATGAACTCAGTGGACATTTTGTGGACATTTCTGGACATTTTAGAAGGGCAGTCCATGGGCTAAGGGAATAATATCTGTGTAATATATCAAAGGATGGGAAGGGGAGGGGTGGTTAATGAGGACATAATGGATAGTGTGAGACCTGAGTATGAAGTAACTGGCTTTCACTTGCACTTGTTTTCAGCTGAAAAAAGATGGGATCTATCATATGATGTCTCACTGAGCCTGTGCCTGGAGGAGAGGAGAGGATCTGCCTTTTATGAGAGAAATATCATTACTTTTTTTTTTTTTTACTATAGCCAAGCTGTGATAGGCCTCTCCACAGTTCCTCTAATTAGAACACTCTAATCTTCATTTCAGATTGGAAATACTTCTGAGATCAGCAGCTAGCCCTCCAAAAACATTACCAAGCAGTTTAGCTGTTAGAATAGGCACTGGAGATCCAGGCTGTTCCAGTATTCCCAGCTCCACAAAGGACCAGTCCTCCATTTAGAAGATGAATACATTTCCGCATTTAATTTGGAGCTTGCTGCGAAGCTCTTTAAAAGGGACACCAATGCTTTCATTGTATTTCTGTCACCATATGTTAACACAACACTTGCAAAAAAGCAGCCTCTTAGATAATTAACTGAAAGCAGAGGAACACTTTCCTGTTCTTTTTGACATGTCACTCCCATTTTCCTGTGTATGAATCTTTTCTCCCAGAAACAAAAGAAGGAAACTCAATTCAGACTCAAGCAATGGGAGTGGGGGAGGGAAGAGTGAAAATAACAGCCTGAGAGAGTACAGCGGTGGCATAGTCGGTCTGAAGGAATGTGGTGGTGTAAAGAACAAGTCATCTAATGCTAAGAACCTCAGAGGGACACGCACAAAATTGTTTGACAAGGGCAAATCGCTCCATCAAGAGCTGCATGTGTCAGACAATGAGACCCTCCATGGTGAGCTGCATAATCGTAAGAGCTTCAGCGACTCTCCAGCATTTGTGAAAATAGGTGATTTTCAGCACGGCAGGACAGACTAAGGTGTTCAGGTAGAGCACAACCTGGATTAGATGGTAATTTATTCATGCAACCATCAGCATATCAGGGAGTGCAGTGGAATGTCTGTCAGGGATCTCTAGAATTTTTTCCTTTTTGCCTCCTTCCCTGGATGCATGTATCGTTATTAATCTCTGATGTAGCAAAGGGAGTCAGCTCTGGCAGTACCCTGGTAAACAGTGAACTGGAGATTCTTTGTCTGCAAGACCGAGATTTCTCTTCTCTTTTAAAAGAATCTTCTTCAGAAGATTAATAGAGAAATGTGCTGCGGTCTGCTCTGCTCTGTGACAATGGCAATTGCACGACTGTAAGCTACAAATACAGACTTTATTTCCCACAAAGTCCACTACCGTCTAGAACAAGCTAAATGTTCATTGTTTTTATTTTTGTGCAGTCCCTTTCTTTGCCCATAAAAAGCAGACTCTTCTTAGTGCGAGATGGCAGGACTAGTTGGTCTGAAGGCAGTGCCACATGCTGCTGCTCTAGCTGTTCTTGCTCAAGAACTGGCTCGGGGATGCGTGTTGCATCAGGCAGTCATTCCTTCCATTTCCTAAGTCATGTGCCAGGACTGTATTTTTAGGTAATCTAGATTACCCTAATGAACAATGGTGCAGATTTCATTTGAGATCTCAGCTAAGATTATGAGGCAGGGTTAAACATCTATTTAATTACATTCTCTCATAAAATCCAGTTATGTGGTTCAAACTACTGCTCTGTTCATGCCAGAACTTCCCACATGATTCCTGCATCTATTTTAAGAGCCTGTGGTTGAAACAACTCTCCTTAACATGACATCCAACCTCTGCTTGACATCTTGCCCTTCCATAAAACGTTCCAGCAGTTAGAGAGACTCTGTTCATGATCTCTGGAGTTCAGGGAGAGTTTTCATTTTAGCAGATAAAATGTAGCCCACACCGTTTCTCAGCCCAGTTCCCTGCTTATTTCAGAGCTATACTTCATGGCAATACTCCAGAGTTAATAGACTGGAAAAAAACAGGTAAATGGCTGGGTAATATGTACAGGCAAAGCGGGTCACTGCCTTTCCAGGACTGTGCTGAGGAACTGGAGCCTTCTGATCAGAGCCCCGCTTCCAGCAGGGAAGCGGCAGTGAGACATTCCCAGAGCTCCCTACCTCTCCGACTCAAAGTCTGTCTGCTCCTCAAACAGCACAATATGGCGCTTCAGTCTCTGCCTTCGTACTTCACTGGTCGGGTTCCAGAACATTTCCGCATTCCCATTTTTCAACTCATTTATATGCACTTCCCCATCCTAGGAAGGAAAATTAAGCAAAAAGGTTAATGACAATCAGAAACACAAGGCAGAAAATAATCCTGACAACTGGAAGCTGCTTCCGGATGATGATGAGGGATAGGGCTTGGCTAGAAGGCTTCTTTCCTCCTCTATCCCATTAAATCTCACTGAACGCTTCCTGAAAGTTTCTAAAATGAATGAGGGGTTTTTAACACTGACTGAATTAATCAGAGAAGAATTAGAAAGGGACCTGGTCCCTTACATCTTGTGCCCAGACAGGGGTACACACAGAAGCCCTAAGATGCTCTTCTTTCCCCACTGTTCCTCCCAGGTACCACCCAGCACATATAAACAAGATCCCTAGCTCCTTTTCCAGTCCTTCTTCTATTCCTCAATGCTGAAATCCCAGGCAGAGCCTACTGAAATACCACCCTCTCTAGAAAGGAGAGCTAAAGCTGAGATATTATTTCACTTTTTTTTTTTGTTTTGTTTAGCCAGGTTTTTCTATTATTGCTCCAGAATTTCATTTAGCACTTCAAAATGCCAGGGGTCTTTCATCCTTATTCCTTCCCAATTTACTTGGCAACCAACTATTAAGTAGCACTTCTTTGATCTGAGACTGGCTAGACAACATTGCTGTGTCCCTGCTTAACTAAGCTGCTTCCCAGCTCTGCTCACAGACGCAGCAATGCTGCAGAGCCAGCCGGAGTAGTTTACGGAGCGTACAGTGAACAGCACGACATTGACTGCAGGAGGAATGAATCAGACAATTACAGCTCTGAACAGCGTGCGCCCTGGTGCCATTCAGCTCCCTGGACGTGGTATGAGTGTCATGTAAACCTCATTTAGGTCATGGCTATTGGCTTTGCCTGTTGCTGCCTAATTTCCTTGCATCCCAGCTGCTGCATTTCTTCCCCTGCCACGGTCCCCTGATGCACGTCTCAAAATCCACTTCCTGAGGGAAGACCCGAGGGACTCTCATCCCTCCTCATAGTCTCCCTCAGGACTTCCTCTGCCATGTCCTGAGGTGCCAGTTCCAGGACAGATCCCAGGTCCCCAGGAGCCCCCCAGCTGTGGATGGGAGGAGGCAGGCAGGCCTTATCTAATGTCACTATGCCCACATCTAAAGGGGCACATATACAAGCCCTCAGGTGCTGCTTTGGTCCTGCGGCTGAGAAGCATTGGGATTTGCTTTCCTACTTTATTTGGATGGGTTTTCAGGTCCCGAGGCAGAGAATTAGCCTTTTAGCTGCAAGGGTTTCTGTCAGGAAACTAGATGGTGCCAGAGAAAAGCCTGCAGAGCTCAGGAGAGCAGGCCAATACTCTCAGCGGGGAGGGAGGAGAACAAACAACGTCCCTACCACTGCACAGCAGCTACTCCATTCACAGCATGCCACTGCAAACAGCGGCTCATGGAGCCACCCTTTCAAAGCCATTTAACTTCTTTTATGCATAATTCTAATTTTGTGCACCACAAACAACCAGCACAAAGAACAAGGGAGGAATAAATTATTTTCAGGCTGATAAAACCCAAACACAGAGGCTGGAAGCTGAGCAGCATGCAACCATGTGGCTCGGCCGCCCAGGAGAGCTGCTCCGTTACATGCCCTCACGGATGGTGCTTGCAGGACCTACCGCAGACAAGGTGCTCCACAGTTCTGCACAACTGACAATTGCCCAGGCTCATCCTGCAGGAAAGGGAGCTCAGAATGGTAAAGCTACCCAGGCCCAGGGAGCAAACCTCCTTGTATACACCTAGAAAGGGCAAATCTCCTAGTTTCAAAATGGTCATTAGCGTTTGATGTAGAAAGGCAGGTTGCTTGAGGGGAGGAGTCCAATACCAAAGGCTACGCTCTGGTTAGGACCTCACGATAGAAAGGGCTTCATCCAGGCACATTTCACCTGACCTACTTCAAATACCTCCTTTAGCATGAGACAAATCTTGTCTCAAGAGTGACAGTTGCTGTAGACTGGAAAAGGAGCATAGGTCAACTATAATGAAGATGCAGATATCTAAATGTAGCTGAGACAAATACCTAAGTGTCCAGCCCAAAGCCAGGGCTCACTGATTTTGCCTCAGTTACCAGGGGTCCACAACCAAAACTCTAGCCTACATCCTTCACCATGCAACTTCATTCTTGCTGGATTTTGGCTTAGGGATGCCTTTAAGCGATTCACTTGTGGATACGGGGTGTGCAAAGGTGCTGGCTGCTCTGCTGACTATTCTGAGCTGCCCAAACAGATAAACCCTCACAGAACCTGTCTCTCAGTCCTTCATCTCATCTACAGAGGAATAACCATCTTCTGTCATAAAGGTTTGCTGTGAAAAAAATGAATTTAAAACCCCATGAAGTTCTTCCCTGATACTGCCATAGCTGGGGAAGTATTAAACACAAGACAGAAGGAAGCCTCATGATTTTCACAATCACACATAAGACACACTATGTCTCCCACCATCAGGGCTTGTCATAAGCCTGGGACCCTAAATACAGAGCCACTGGCTTCAGTGGAAACGCAGCCTCACCGGTCCCGGCTTTGGCCCAGGCTCTGGGAGTGCAAGCGCTGCTGGCACTGCAGGTGGATGGGACTAGGGAAGGGTAAATGACCTTGAGAGCTGTGGCCCGGAAAGCTCTGCTCGCCCGCGCTCCCTGGGGTAGCGGGAAGAGGCAGGGCACGGGGCCTCCACAGCCCCCGCCCCAACGCAGGGAGCCTGCCAAGGGCTGCCAGTCCTCCCACACACCCTGCTGCCACGTGCGCTTAAACTGTCAGCAGCTTCGATTATCGTATGTTACCCAGTGTCCGCTGAGACTTGCTAGCACTTCTTCTCCTGATTTAATCTTCCCAGAGATTTGATTAATGCTTGCACTGCCACCGAAGAAGGGCTGTCAGGGGAGAACAGAAATAGAAAATATGATCAGTCTAGCGAGAACTGGAAGGGACCCAAACGCAGTGATGCAGCAGGAGGAAATAAAAATGCAACCTGCTTGGATTTCTGCTATTTCTGGGAAAAGGCAGAATGAATTCTAACATTGATTTTGACTGTCTAGCATTGTGCCCTCCTCCTTTTGTTTGCAATATCAAAATCACCATAGGAGCTGCAGGAAGGGAGATAATCCTCCAGGTGCATTAACATGCAGCAGTGCAAGGCGTCACCTTCACTGCAAATGCATTTATTGTCAGCTAGACGTCGTCAGGATAAGTGTATGTGGGCAAGTCCTTCCCATTGTCCAGAATCACATTACAGTTTGCACCCTTATGCTTTGAACTTTGTCCAAAGAAAAGGAGCAGCGCTAATGCAGTTAGTGACTTTCCTGCTTATGGGACAGCAACAGCAGTGTGGCACTGCCAATGGCTGCATCTGCGTGAAGTCTCCAGTGTGAAGAAGCTCTCGTCAGCAGCAAACAACAAAAAAAAAAGGGTATTTCCAGAGTCAAGGAAAAGATTCGCAGAACAATGGAAAATTCCCCTCACCTCCTGCTTGCCAAACACAGGAAACAGCAGTGATAGAGTGACCAGCTCTTCCATTCACACCACACAACATTTCTTCAGACATTTTAGCAGCTACTTTCCAATAACGTTTGTGCAGAGGAACTTTTTTTTTTTAAATAACAATATAAAACCAAATTTCCCACAACACCCATGGAAAAAGAAACCACAAGTATCTCAGGAATCAATGTATGCAATCCAGCAGAGAATTGGTACATATCCAAATTAATAACAAAGCTATGGGTTTATCTTTAACTTCTCACAATTCTACTAAAAAAGGTAGCTAAGAAATATTCAAAGCAGAGCACCTACTTAAGCCACAGGGACAACTTTCTGAGTCATGTTTGGACTAAGCGTATTGTTTTCAAGCCAGAGAAGAAGGCTCTGCATTTTAATCTCTGAAGTGTTTGCAGGTTTGAGATGACACTGACCCCAGTCAGGGACATACTCCATTGGCCTCAAGACTGTGCGTCAGGCCTATGGGAAGAACAGGCTGTGAAGGTAAACATGTGCAAATGTCAGGGAAGTACATGGGGCAACAGTTCACTTTGTAAGGGCAAACGAAGATGGAAAATTATTACTGTCCCCAGGAAAATGCAGTCTGCAAAAGACTCCCCTAACTCCAGTAATCTCCATCTTTCGTTTTATGCCCAGGCAAGAAATTGTTGGAACAGAAATGGATGCTCCTTAAAAAGCAAGTTAACTGTCCAAGAAA